TCTGATCTTGCTTTATTAGGCCCTTCTATATGAGAGGCCCTAGGTCACACACCAGGGATTCAGGAAAAAAGAGAAAAAGTACAGATCTTGTTGTCAAAAATCTCATAATGAAGTAGAGGCAAAGGAAAAGAAAACTAATAACCATATCCATGAGGACATGGAGCAACTGAAAGAAGTATAGGGTGTTGTGGGAACTCTCTGAAAGAGCATCTACTCCACACTGGGTCCTATTGGCAACAAGACCCGCCCTGAGAAGAGGCAAGAGAGTGATCCCAACAAAAGAAACAGCATTTGTTGAGGGAACAAGAAAGTAAATCAAAAGGCAGCACCAAGGGTGGATGGAGCAGTCCGGCGACGTGGTAGGTGTCTCTTGTTGTTTTGGTGTCCACGTCAGAACTCTTCCTATTTCTGGAGAAGCCCTAGTTTCTCAAGTGGTGGGAGGAGTAAGGCCCCTCTCTCTCACTACCAAAGCTAGAACCAGAAGTTCCCTCTCCCATGGGCAGTGAGGGGTAGGTATACAATCTATGATGAATCAGATGGTATATGTCTGGGATTTCTGAATGTCAAGGATGACCAAATATTCAGCCACATCTGCAGTCCCGGCAGTGACAGAACTGAAAGATACAGAGGGGAAGGCCATGGTGAGTTCCTTACCAGGCAGTTCTCGGGTATGTCCTTGGCTGTATCTCCTGACACATTTTCAGAAGATGTGTGAACCGCCATTCTGTGGATGTGTAACCTACCCAGTAGACGCTCAATAAATTTCTTCTGCTTATAATAGCAGTAATCAATGTCCATCTCTTGTATCCAACAACAGAGGTAGTTTTATAACCATCAGGGTGCGAATGCTGAGGGCTCAAACCAGGCAGAGATGGGGGAGATGAAGAGAAGGAGATACATTCAACAGGTAGTGAGGAGAATAAAGTGCCGGGTGGAAGCCAAAAATAGAGGGTCATAGGTAACTTGTGGATTTGTAGTTTGATACCCCAAGAAACCAAAAAATCAGTAAAAATACAAAAGAAGTGCCCAATTTGTGAGGAGTAGAAAATGATGGGCTCAATTTACACAAACTGAGTTTGAGGTACCTGTGTGACGTTCAAAGCGTCGTACGCACCGAGACGCAGGCTGCGCAGGGGGCTCTGAGAAGAGCCCAGGCAGGAAGGCTGGGACATTAGGAAGCAACAGCTGGAAAAAGGAAGGGAAATCGGGAGAGTGTTGTGCCTTATGAACCAAGGAGGGTGTTTAGGATTGCAGAAACACTCATCTCCTAGGGTCAAATGCTACAAAAAAGTCGTGTAAGGTCAGGACAAAAATATGAATGCTGGACCACTGGTGGCTTTAGCACCTGGGAAGATGATGGCAACTTGGGTGATTTCAGTGAAGTGGTAGAGAAAAGACTTCCGTGGGATGAGGGATGAAACAGAGAAAGTAGGAGCCATGAAAAAGTGTTTTCTTGAAAGGGCTCATTTTGAAGGACAGATAAATGTCTGAAATGAAACAAAATATTAAGGCTTACCCTTTACAATGGGGATTGTTCATTCATATTATAAAATATTGAATGATCACCTGTTACTAGGTAGGTTTTGGACATACAGGACAGAATAAAACAGACATGGTTTTGCCCCGAAGAGCTTGTGGTTTAGAGAAGAGAGGCTAAACAGCGTGGCGAGTGCTAGCGCGGAAAGGAATAGGTGCTCTGAGAAAGGATAGTAAGGGACCCTGATTTATGCTCAAGATTCAGAAAAGCTTCCAACCAGTGAATGATCAAGAAAAGGGATCAAGTGGATTGATTAATATTTCAGGCAAAAAGACCAGCAAGTGCAAACACCCCGAAGCAGGCAGCTTGAGCACGTGTACACACAGGAGAGATGGGGCCAGCGAAGACATGAGGCCGACTGGTGTGGTGAGGAGCCCGAGGAGGAATGAGTAGTCTTCTGCAGTGACAAAGACACACACCTGTTCCACAGACGCCAGGAGAGTGGGTGCAGGTGGAGGTGAGCCTGTCAGTCTGGAAGCAGGACACTGAGAGTTATCTAATGGCTACTGTTTTCTTTGTGAAATAGGGCTGGTGAGGGGTGCTCCTGGGCCAGGCGGTGGTGGGAAATGCTACTATGGGCAATGGAGGCGGAGCTGGACTCACTCACAGCTCAACCCTTACTCTTTTCCGACTCCTCTCAAGGCGGCCCCTCCTTACAATGGATTCTTCGCTCTCTGGTACCAAAGCTTTAATATCCAGGGCCAAGGAACCCTGGATATCAGGATGCTTAGCACTACAAAGGTCCTAAGAGATCTTAACTGTCATTCATTTTTCCTACTCTAATTAAGTAATGGACTCAACAGAAAGCAACTAAATACCAAAAACATGACCATTGACCTATCTCTTCAGGAAGCCCTCATCTATTGAAAAGAGTTGGTATCTTTCCTTTTAATGGCTTCCCTTTTTAAAATAAAGTGGGTTTCTTCCTTCATTTCTCTTGCTTTTCTATCATTTTATGCCTGAATATCTTAAATTATTCAGCTTTTAATAAGGCGAGACCTGGATTATTTTTCTCTGTGTAATACTCAAGCACGATCACATACTCATTTGTAAGCAGGCAAAATTAAATCAGTTCTTTAGGAGGTGGCTCAGGATGGAAGTTCAGCACTCCTGGCATGGAGTCAAGTATGTTCCAAGCTATAAAGCCTTAACAATCTCCCCAGTCATTTGCTTCTACATTCACAAATATGTTGGCCTCCAAGGGCCTCTGAATCTGACTTGATATTTTTTTCAGATTCAACCCCAAACAAAGTGTACTGGTTTCACACTGCAGTTCAGAATAATGACTTGAAAATATCTCCCATCACAGCAAATGAGTCATGAAGCATCTGAAGACAATTTTCTTGCAATGTAGACATTGTAAAGAGCTTGTGGTGATCTCACACTGAATGGGATACGTAAGTCCACGGTAGGAAAACAAAAGCTAAGGAGAGGGGAAAGGAGTAAAAAGGACAGAGTAAGATGCTATTTACACAGCATGACTCCTTTCATAGACATCAGGGTGGTGGTTCTAGATCCCAGACAGTAACCAGCCTTGCAGGAGCTTCCCGGAACATACACAAGCACACACACACAGAACACGTGCACACAGACAGACGCGCATCTTCATCTCCTGGCAGAAGCTACCATGATTCCATCTGTTAATAAAGTATTTGATTGATCTCCTTCAAGAATTACTTCATATCCTACCCTAATTGCCATCAATTTACAACTCTAGCACCTCATGTTACTTTAAAAGAAACATTCTGGGCTTTCTGTAAGAAGCATGGAGGCCAGACAATTCGCTGCTGATGTGAGAACAAAAATGACAAGTGGAGGGAAAATGAGGAACAAGTAGGAGGGGGCATTAAGGAACCCCCTTGACACTCCTTTTCAGGGTCCCAACCAGAGAGCTGGGCAGGAGGAAAGAATGTGGATGCTGCTAGAGATATGTATAACATACTTTTGGATGCTGTTTTCCCACTTTCCCCCCTGTCCCTTTTTACCCAAAAGAAAGAAAAAACATGCTTGGGAGGCAATATCAATTTAAGTGCTACTTGTCATTGATGAAGTTCATTGGGGGGATGGAAAGAGACTCTGGGGTGGCGGGCGCACAACACAGTGCGCAGCAGTGTTCTTGAGTTGCACATTTGAAACCTGTATTGCAATAAATTTGATAAAGCAAAAAATATAAATGAAAAAACTTCACAACTGGATTCTCTCAGCCCATTTCCTCTTTGCCCTTCTTCCACTACTTTTGACTTACTATACACTGCTGGTAAAAAGATAGAAAAGTATCCATCATTAGGATGGAGGCCAAGGCAAGGAAATGTTAATCCCCCAAGATCCACACCAAGCTCCGAAACAATGCTCCTGGCTGTCATTTTTATCCACAGCAGCCCCAGACTTCTATTAAACAAGCCTCTCTTTTTGACTGCTTCCCCCACCCGACATAATAATAAGGTAAACGTCAGCCCATGGAGATGACATTAGGAAACACAGAGCTTTGCTTTGGGAGGCCAATCAGTAAAAGACAGGAGAGGGCCACTTCCCAGGGCTCTTCCTCGCTGATAGAGGCCAAAGGGAGAAGAAACCAGGGGGCTCCTTTCTGCCTCTCGGGCTCCCCAGCTGCTGCGATGGACTTGATATTTACCAGTTGGCCAAGAGGCTACTTGAAAAGAAATCTCACCATCTTGAACATGTTCCTCCCTTCCTCTCTGATTTCGCCCAACTATCCCTACTGCCACCCCCACGCACAAAAGTACTTTTGTGTACACAAGGCTCCAGGAGACAAAGCATACAAACACTCACACACAAATAAACTCCACGTACTAACACCAACGTATAATTGTGTTTTGGTTGGAGCTTTTCCAGCCTTGTCACCCGTTCTCTGTTAGGAGTAAATGAAACCCTTTGCTTCGGCAAAGTTAGAAACAGACAAAGTTAGAAACAAACTCTCCTCAGTTTCAAGCTGCACAAGGCTCCAGTCATATCTCTTCAGCCCCCAACAAAATGAACTCGCTGCTGAACAGCCAGCAAGGAAAAAAAAATATTCCCCAAATAGCTTTCACTTCTCCCCCTCCCTCAGCTTCCCCTTTTGGCCTGAAACGCACAGCGTTTCCAACTTCTGAAGCTCTTTTCAAGAGTCGACTCGACCAGGGGACGCAGCCCTGGCCTGTCCCGAAGCAGGCGGTGCTTTTCCGAGCATATTTATTTTGCATTCTCGGGGGCACTACTGCGGCCGCTCAGTTTCCAGAGAAATCTGAAAAGCAGGCTGTAGTGGGCTGGCTGAGCTAGGTCTGACTCTTCCTCCCACCCGCGTGCAGGACTCGGCAGAGGCAGCTCCAATGGGGCCATGAGGGAGCAGGGAAAGCGAACGAAATACCCGCCGCTCACTATAATACTTTCATCCGCTCCCCTACTACGCCCTTTCTCCACGTTCCTCCGCAAAACTTGGCCAGTCCCTGAGAAATCAAAATCATACCTTCCTTGGATTCTTCTGCTTCGGAGTGCATGGTGTCAGGGTCACCCGCCTTCTGGGGCGATTACCTCTGAAACTGCACTTGGACCCGCCGCAAGTTCGATCCGCAGCCAAAACCCAAACACGATGGAAAATAAAAGGAAGGAAAGCCACTAAAATCAAAACCTCCCCCGGGAGGGAGGGCTAGTTCTGTGCAGGGATTTTAAGGGGGAAAGTTCTGCAAGAATGACGAATCGCGTCTCAGTTGGGCGGCAGGAGTCCGCCCCCGGGGCGAGCGCAGCAGCGCGTCCCAGGGCGGATGCAGCCTGGCAGGGTCGGTGGGGCCGCAGGCGGGCCAGGGGCGCACACAGGTGGGGAGGAGGTCCAGACCACAGCCTGGCTTTCAGGGATGACTGCAGAGGGGTGCCTCTGGCAAACGAAACTGAGACATGCAAAGCCAGTGAATACAAGTGCAATAAAGGAAGAAAAAGGCTCATTTCAGCATGTGCTGCAGAAATAGTAAATGCACTGGTTGTAAAAGAAATACTTCTGAATCCTTGACGCCCATTGAACTTTCCTTGTGTTGGGGATTTTATACGCAAAAATTACAAATTTATAGCTGCTCGGTTTTATACTTTTTTTTTTTTTAAGAAGAAGGAACATGGATATTGGTCCATGTGACTGGAAGGACCTGCTTCACAAGCCCAAGAAGAGGGCCTTGTGAAGAAAGTGGGGACAGCCTCCACCCCAGACCTTTGCACGGGGAAGGCAGACAAGGCGGCTTACTCATTCTGTGTAACTGGGGCGAGCACTCTCTGGGATGAGCTTAACTGCCCTGCAGTTACTCCAAAGGGCCATCTTCAGAGGGAGAGCGCCATTCCCTCCCCAGCTACTGATAGCAACCCTGGATAAATTCCTTCAAAATGCCAAAGGCAGGGTGGGGTATGCAAAATGCTGATAGAATAAAGAGGCTGGAGAGCCTTAAGAACAAATCTCAATTCTGCCCCCTAGTCACCGGCGGCCTCCTACAACTGGCTGAGAGGAAGGCATTTTAGCTTTGTAAAGCCTTGGTTTGTACTTCGGAGAAATGGGGACAAGAGCTACCACGAAATGCCTGTCTGGGGAGAGACTTTGCAGAGCACTAGTTTTATCGCCAATGTAAGGTGAAAAGTCCTCAAATAATGCACCCAAAAGACTGATTAGGAAACTGTGAGAAATGTTATATTCTTTTAACAAATTTATTTTCCAGCTGCTTTCTTTGTCCTCATTTCCCATTTTTATATCAGGGGAGGGAGTATGAGTGGAAAGGCACCATGATAAACTTAATAAGGGCAGATGGAAGACAGGGATTTAAAGAGTTTGAATTAAAATTTAGTTCTGCCATTCATTATTTGTAAGACCTTAAGCAAATTACTTAACCTCTTTGAGCCTCCCTTTTCTCATCTGGAAAATGAGGATAAAAATAGTACTGTTTACTTCACAGATTTATGTTTGGTATTAAATAAAATAACATAAAGAAAAGCTGATTTGAAAACCATAAAGTACAATGCCCATTATTACAAACTATCACACCATTAAAAGTAAATTTTTGTAATATATATTCAGGTTTTATTTCAATAATGGGTTTGAACAGAAAAAAAGGTATTTATGCTATTCACAAGCAGTGAAGGCTATTATAAATACTACTATAAGGCCTAGATATTAAATCCCTTCCAACTGCTGAATGATTCTAACATGCCTAAGACCCCAAGCAGAACTTGATCTCAATGTCACCGAAAGGGAACGATAATGAGAGGAAGACATAGCTAGTGGGAGAGGAGAGGAGGGGAGAAACATCTGGAAAATATCAGTATTGTAGAGCCTCCCGGAACTGACCTCACCACCAGAAGGGTAGCAGGCTGCACCCTTCTGAAAGTGGTGGTGCACTGCCTGTTCCCTGGACAGCACGTCCGGGGGTGGGACCTCCGGGGGTGGGACCTGCCAAGACGAGTACCTCTACCTGGTAACCTGAGGCGTATGGAGGAGACAGGAGGATCCCTCAGCAGTCAGAAGTGACCTTTCCCGTACTGTCCAAGGAAAGGACATTCTGGGAGCCCCCCCCACCATCTGTCCTCCCCGTCCCTCACAGCAGCCCAGCTGTCCACCACGAGCTGAGCAGGATCTCACCAGGGCTGCGCGCTGCATGGATAAGACAGCTCCCATGCATCTGTAACTGGAGAAAGATGCAACACCTTTTCTAGGTGATGATTATGCCAAATCAGACAACCCAAATTCCAGGCCCCATCTGCCACAGGCAGCACTCACTTTCAACCTCTTCTTTCAGCAAGTGTCTTCCAACAAATTACTTCTTAAATGTCCTTCTGCAAGTCAATTATGTAAAAACCACATAAGGTGTATCAAAATACATGTCCTTAATGTCCTACTTGTTTTTCCACGGGGTTCACAAAAAGGCCTTCAGCCCTGCTCAGGTTAGCCAAGGAGAACAACTGCTGAGCGACCAGTTCAAACACTGCTATGTCAGCCTTGAAATTCAATTTAGAGTCATTTCAGCAGCTTGGGTGATCTTTGAACATTCACTATGATCCTCAGAAAGCTGTAGAGAAACTTAATGTCCTGATCTAGCTGAAGTGCTAGGAGTGCTCAGCTTATTTTTAAAAATCATATGTGGATAAGGATGCTCCTCAGTCACCTGTATAACCTCAAAGCTCTCCATCTGCCCTGGATACTACATTGCCCCATGCCACACCCCGCAAAGGGCAGCTGGTTCTCTAGGGCTTCCAGATATGTACTAGGTCAGTCACTTCCTCTTGATTTTGTGCTGCATTTATTCAAAAGGGGATTAGTTACCTTTCAGCCCTAGTGAATGATGCTATAGTACATCATAATGACTTATCTCCTGCAGGTAGAGCCTGTTCACTTTTGTGTGTTTAAGAAACACTCCAACATCACTTAGTGTGACTCGGAATATGCTTGGAAGTCATACCGACAACCTATTATAGACAACCTGATACAAAATAGCAACTAGGTGAGCAACATGTCTTATTTAATAATACCATATTTCTTTTAAATACTACGTTGAACTCCTACCAGAGTCTAACAATGAATTTCCCACCTTCTGCATCAAGATGAGAGAGTTAAAATGCTGGCTAAGATGCTAATTTTTTTTCAGTCAGTCATTATCAAATACTTGATACATGTGTCACAGGAAAAAAGGGCCGGCTTATGTGGAGTTTACTGGCATAATTTTGGTAGTTTTGACCACAGACAAAAAAACTCAACCTCTTCCTTGTCACCTTGATTCTAAGGAAGGTGTGTTGCTAACACATTTAACCTGAACTTCATCACAGAGCAGCAGAAAAACCTCCTCTTAAAGTGTACCTCAAAAAATCTGTTTAAAAAAACCTGGGCTTTTGGGTCTTTTGCTCACAGCTGCCCAGACGTCTGTTGAGAACAGGGGAGGTCAGCAGGTTTCCAGACTCACACAAATGAGAAGACCAGCAGTGCTGGGAAGAGAACGTGCAGTCTATTCAGGAGGAATCACATCCTCTGCTCACATTCAGGAATGGTATACACTCCCTGTGGTGAAAAATACTGAGCATCTCTGTGAGTTATAATACACACCTATGGCTTCTAGGTCATGAAGAACCCAGGTCACACAAACAGCCATTTCAACCACATTTTGTTACTACCTTGCTGATAAGAGGCTGAATGTGTACATTAGCATTGTTTATCCTTGGTATGAAGGGTAGATTTCCTCTATTTGACTTGGAGGCTGTCCTCAACTTTTCTTGCATTGTCTATAACTTTGATAACCTCTGAGTCCAGGTCTTCTTTTACATCCTTGGTTAGATTTATTCCTAGGTATTTTATTCTTTTTGAAGCAATTGGAAATGGAACTATTTTCTTAATTTGCCTTTCTGATAGTTGAGAATTGGCGCAGAAAAATGCAACTGATTTCTGGATATTAATTTTGTATACTGCTACATTACTGAATTCATTTCTTAGCTCCAGTAGTTTCTTGGTGGAATTTTTAGGGTTCTCAATGTACAGTACCATCATCTGTAAATAATGACAGCTTATATCTATACCTTTGAAAGGCTTTGAAGACTTCCATAATCTATATATAAAGTTTGTTTTCAGTCTCTCCCCTCACTGTAGAAAAGATCTGTGTTCTCGGTCTCACCTGGTTGGGTGGCAGGCTGTGCATCTTTCTCGTCCTCCTCAGACACCCTGTTGCACTTAACCTTCCAAAACAGAGGTGAGGTGGAGGGGGCAGGGGCCATAGCCCCTGCCTGGCTCAGGTGATCTCACTCTCCTTGCCTTAAGATTTACTTACCCAAATTGGAGAAGGGGACACACAAATGACAGTGGAGGTCCCTTAAGCACCTTCTCAGGAGCCATGCCCTGTGCCTCAAGAGATCTTATGATTACGAATTGCTGGGTACTGGGTTAAGGTTGGGGAGTTCGGGGCTGGTGGAACATGGGGCAGAACTGCTGTGAATCATGGAAGAACCCTGAGTGTGGAGATGGAAGAGGGAGAAAGCTGCCTCCAGGGCCCTGCCTGGTGGTTTGAAGTTTGTTGTAGGTAAACCCTCTCCTCAGTGACATCTTCAGTAAACCCTCCATGCTCACTAATGCTCTGAGTGTGAGAGCAGAATTCCGAGGGACGGGATGAAGTGACAGTCAAGGTGAGCACGCACATGGGGACCACGATGTATCTGGGATCCAGTTGTTTCCCAGGCTTTCAGTGCTTGCTTTTATTTCTCTCCTAAGAAATCTTCTTGGCTAAAAAGTTTTTAATAGATGATTAAACACACACACACACACACACTCATAATCAGGTCTAAAAATATTATCTGAAGAATTTGGGACATGTGGTCTTTCTTTTACAATACTTAACAATAATGCCTTCCATTCATATAGGCTTCATTCAGACTTCCCAATTAGCTCCCTTGGGTCACCATACCCATTTTACAGACATGTAATTAAAGAAAGGGAGGCTATGATTTGCTCAGGGTCACATAACTAAGTAATAATGTTCTTTAGATTACAGTAAATGCAGTCAGTCTCGGCCTCCTGTCTCCTCTATCCAGACTTTCTCACTCTATTAAACGACGCATGTAAAAGTCAAGTTCTTTATTTTGCACAAGAATAGCTCAAAGCGTGCCATATTGGGCGGTCTCCAAAGAGCTGGAGCTGCCATGCTTCCGGCCCAGACTGCTCAGATCGCTGCGTTCAAATGCTCCACTCACAGCCGCAGGTTACGATTATTCTATTGCTGATATTCAATGCATTCAATAAGCTATAAATCCAATAGCTTCCATTTATTCAGGTACAGGAAACTATAAATCTTTTTTTTAAATGAAGAGCTGGGTCAGGACCCTAATTAACCCTTCTGATGTGAAGTTGTTAGGAGCTTGCAGAA